CTGTCCGCGCTGGTGCGGGGCTTGCCCGGCCCGGAGCTGCTTTCCCGAGGGAGCAGCGGTGTCAGTCCAGACTTATTTGCGCCTTGGCTGCAGCAGAGGAGAGGTGATGGTTTTGCAGTTCTCAAGACGCACGTTTAATATCTTTATAAAAGTAAAGTTTGAAAGTATTTTTCCTCTTTATGTAATTTTTTTTTTTTTCTTTTTAACCTCTCTGACCGGCGGTATAAAACTTCATTTTACCCTTTCAGAATGTCTAAGGGATGAAAAAAATGCTCTTGCTGTCAGTCAGAGTATATGAAACCCGGTAGCAAAAGCACCAGTGTGTTCTTGTGCTGTCAATAACCATCTTCCAGATGTTTTTACGGATGGATACAGTCATAAGATATGATAGTTTTGTCAATGTTCATTTATATTTAAATCATCATTTCAACTTGTCAAGTCCACCTTCTCCTCTATAAAAGATAAAAATGATCTAAGGCTGTATTCCATTTATGTGCAATGTTTGCTGTATTGCTGAAGTTTTAAGTTGTTTATTGCATCATTTCAGTATTGTTTTCATTCTAGCAAGATTTTTTATGAACTGCCCTTCATGTAGAATTAATGCTAGGAGTAAGTTTTGTACTGCAAGCTAGTACCTATATGGACAAGCTTTGGTGTTGATGTGGGATCACCCCAGTTCGTATGGTTTTTTGTTTGTTTACAAACATATCGAACCACTTTTAAATAATCTAGACAATCAATTTAGAGACTCACTTCCCAGAAGCCTGGGGCATCTCTTGCAGGCCATGTAACTGTACAATGAAGAGTAATTGGCTTTTCTTTTTGTAGGATGGATACTCACAGTTATCAGCTTATGAAAGGAAAAGACTAAAGAACATTACAGAAAATGCTAAATTCTTTGCTGCTTTAAAGCTACATGAGGTTTGTATAGATTCTAAGTAGCACCAAAATGCGCTCTCCGAGTGGGATAATTGTACTGTCATCCCTCTCGTGAAACCCTTCCCTAACACTGGCAGGTGTGTGAGGAAAGCCACGAAAACTTCCCGAGACATCAGGACTGCCCTGACTGGATAAAAAAATGGGGTTTTGTGCTGCTAGTTAGCTTTTTCCAAAGAGGGGAAGTCATTGGTTAAACTTAAAAAAAGTGAGGAAAGCAAAACTCTGTTCGTACGGTATTCCGTATCAGCAGCACCCAGCCGCGCTAGTGCATGCGGTCCCAGCGCTGCGGAGGCAGCGGGACCAGGTGAGGTGACCCTCGGGTAGAATGCTCTCGTGAAGGTGCTTGCGTGAGTGCTGTACGTGCAGGGTCCTGCCCGCTTGTGTAACGCGTGCTCCCACCCCTTCCTGTGCACTGCGTTCCCTGTGGAGGGCATTGAGCTCTTGCATCTTAGACGCAGTGCACGCAGGTTAGCTGGTTATTTAACCAAAACACTGCAGGGCCTGTAAGGTCTCGGGCTGTCGGGACGGTTCAGCTCACCGCCCTGTGCTTGAGAGGTGCTTGGGAAGAGCCTGCAGGGCGTGTGCTGCTGGAGTCCTTCCCCGTGTCCTATCTAGTCTGGGTGGACACAAGTGCATTACCATTCTTCTCATGTTGGAGAAGTTGTCTAGAAGGTTAAGGCAGTGGAATTTCAAATACTATCACATGAGTAGATCCAAATCTTTGCCTTTCTTTCTGCAGTCCTTCATTCTTTTACATAATTTTTTTTTAAATTCATAATATATCCCTATTCTGGCAGCAGTGAGTGAATTACCTCCTTGAATGGCTGCGTGCTTGCTTGCTCATTGTACCAGGCTGCAAGACATGAATGGGCAGTAGTCTGTAGGCAGCCTGTCTAGTAGGCAGTAAGTCTCCTTACCACTGAGACTGAAACTTGAGTAAAAAGAGCTCCCTTTCTTCCAGTTGTCCTCCGAGAGGTCAGCAAAGACTAGGCAGTGTGACTGTAATCACAGCGCTGACCGCAGAGTAGCGAAGACTAGCAGAAGGAGCTATAGCCGTCTCGGTTACCATTGGCACTGGCCAGTATGGGCTGCCAAACCGAAGAAGCGGGTAAATCTTTTCATGCCAGGGTTGCTGCTGCTTTGGCTGGAGCGGTAGTGGAGCAGTGGTCTTAGTGATGAGCTGGACATGTCTAAACTTCTCTGGAGTCCAAATGAGCTAAATGCCCATCTTCGAAATGTAATGGAGAAAACACTGTGAATGGAGGCCTCTGTGGTTACAGGTTCTACTTCAAATGTCTTTCTGTGTCTGGTGCGTAGCATTTAGAGTATTTTCTTTGCTCCGTAAAGAGAAGGGCTACAGACTGTGCTGTGCTCCTGCGCGCCGTTCACAGAAATCGGGGAATTCTTGCTGGTACATGGAAGCAAAGCGGACGCAATGCAGCTCGATGCTTAAAAATCCCTTTTTATTATTGTTATAAATAATTGCAATATAGTTTATTGCAGCCTTTAGATAATTGTATTTTATACAGGTTGATCTTTTATAGTTGTTATATATATTTTTAATATTTTTTTTTCTCTTTAAGTCAGCTGCAAGACTTCACCAGATTGCAACTAAAAGACAATCTCATGTCACCAAAAGGTAAAATAACTGTATATGAGATTTGTATCACTGTTCCTTCATTGTGTTTTAGCACTTCCATCTGCACATACCTGATGCTCCAAAGGGGGAGAGCTAGTGAGGAGTCTCCCTATAAAGCTAAATCTGAATCACTGATTATCTTAAGCTGTATGAATTCATGAACACGTAGCTCCTCTAGGTAGTCCCTCTCCTCTGCCGTCCTTTGGAAAGAAAATGACAGTATGAATATCTTTTTTGTCGAATGACAGAATTTTTTCTTTTTATGATGTATTTATTAAGGTATTTCTAATGCATTTCTTTTTTCTGATCATATTTTGGCACGATGGCTAAAGAAAGAATTGTTAAATGATGGGCAAAGGCATGGGAAAGGAAGGGGGGGAGAGAACGACATGCAAGGGATAGGGTAGCCAGTTAGTGTAGAAGAAAAGACATTTGGCAGGGCCAAAACAGTGCCAGGCAAAGCAGAAAAATGAGCTTAAGTCCAAATAAGGAATAAGATACATGATGAAAGAAAGTGGAAAAAGATGACTAGATTAATGAGTGGAAAGATGAATTAAAAATAAGGAGGGCTGGGAAGGGAAGCGACAATGGCAGGATGTATCGCAAGCGAAACAAAAATGCAATACATACATATACATTGCAAAGTGCTCTTTCTGTTGTTCGTTGCTGTTGCTGAAGGAAAAAGTAATCACAGCCCTCCTAAAGTGAATCAGAACTAGTTAGATTGTAAGTCTGGGCCATGGTGTTAGAGCTATACATCTGAACCTACCCTATGGTCTTGTACTTAAATGCAGAGGGCTTATGTTATTTAACTGTGCCTGTAATTTTGAAATGTTTTAATTGTTCTAGAGCTAAGCCTAAAAAGGCAGAAGATGAAACAGTACGTCGAAGATCTATGCGCTTACAAAGAGTAGAGCCGTCAGGAATTCCAATGCCAGAGATGCCTGCCCAGCCAGGAGCAGAGGAATATGTAAGATGGGGAAGGGTTAGAGGAGATGTGTGTGTGTATACACAGAAGCTTTATAAAAACGGTGCCGGTGAAGTTGACTGATAATACTTGTCATTGTTGAGCTTATTGTAAAAACGTTTGGGAAGGTGCGTTATACAGTGGCAATAATAAAAGGTAAATTCTTTCACCCTGAAGCATCTTGAATAGCAGGCTTTCCACGTCCTCTCTGAAAGTTAGTCGATATTCTGTGACTCAAGTTGATGAAATAGTGCAGTTTTGGATGATCAGAAGGGTCCCAAGGTAAAACGTTATGCATTTTTCAACAGCCCATAGATTTGAGCAGCTTTAAATGCAAAGTTTTATTACTCTGTTTTAATGTTATTTCACTGTAACTTTTGATCTAGTTTATTTTCCTTTGAAATATTTACTACCTTTTTGAAATAGTTATATAGCAACAAGTAAAAATTCTGTTGCTCTGAGAGCAATTTAAATCTTCCATGGTGCTTTAGAATAAAGCTAAATCTCTGTAATACAGTTCTTGAAGATCAAACTTGCTGGAGTATCAGAAAGGAGAGGAAAAAACAGGGTAGCTATTTGTCTTTGCTGTTGTGTTTAGTGAAGTTCTATGTATCTTTTTAATAAGATTTTGGTACAAACTTTTTTTTTAAAAATGTTTATTTCTTGTATTGTTGTAGATGTGTTCTCAGAATATCTGCTGTCTGGAAAGTAACAATTCACCCTATTTGATGAAAATTGCTAATGTCATTCCAGCCTCAGGTTCCAGCCGGACCTTTGCCAATGGTTCCAGAAGATCAGATGGGGAACAGTAAATTGACAGAGGACTTACTGACTACATGGATGAGGATAAGTGAGGTATTATTAGTTACAATTAGTTATTTTTGGATAATGTAATTTAGCTTGGGTTCTAAGTAATCTGATACTGATAAATATTTCCTTTCTATTTGTAGATGAAAGCTAACGATACCGAAAAGTGCACACGTGACATGAAGAGGTAATCTGAAGACAGCAGCTAAAAACTGGGTTCTTGTTGTCATGTTCTCCTTCTTTCTTCTCTTGAATAGCTAACGTTTTAATGATGTTGTCTAGATACCAGGACAGCCTGAACAGCATGGTCCTCAGTGAAGATAACATTAAAAAGGTTGTGAAATACCGAGTGTGTTCTATGGCTATCCATCCTTCTGAAAGCATCATCTTTGTGGCAGCTGGAGACAAGTCCGGGCAGATCGGTCTCTGGAACGTGGTGAGTTGTTAGTGTGCTCTTCACCTGGCAGAGCTGTTTGTTGCAGGATGGATGCAGATGGGGCACAGCCTGGAGCGTCATTTTGTCAGGCTCAGGATGGTATTTTAGACTTTCCCCATTCTTACGGATAACACCATGGTGTCTGTTAAATTGAGGCTCGCCAGAATTGCTTGAAAGGTCTGTCTGGTCCTTGGCAAGCCCAGGTTTAACAGGAGGAAAGGTTGCACTGGTAATTTTTTGGGGCAGAGCGGAAGAAAATGGATCACTAGCTGAAATATTATTAGTGAGGGTTAAAACTGCAGTTCACCGTTGAGAGATTCAGGATCTAATTACAGTACCCTTGTAGCAATACCACAACTAGGTTTTGGAGAGTGAGGGGAAATGGATGCTCAAGTATTTGTTTTTTGAGTTTGTACAAATTTTGGGTAGCTGCAGTGAGTCGCTGTTTTTCCAGACAGCAGAGAGAAAATTGCTATGCCAATATATATGCTGGCACATATTTACATACATTGTCTCTGAAAAATAGCTTAGCATTTGGCGCTTTGCAAACTTTTGAGGGCTTTGCAGATAGTCTCACCATTGTTTTTGAATTGCCTTAATTACTCCTGCATCAAGAATCCTTATTCATGCCCTTGACTTACACCTTTGTAACCTCCCCCCGTACCCTCCGCTTTGATCCCACGTCATCCAAACCAGCTGCTTGAAGTTCACACACATGCAGATTTTCTTTTCATTTTTTGCAATGCCACTAACCTCTCGAATGTCTCTCGAGTCATTTCTTTGACAGCTTCAGGAAACTGATCAACTAAATTCAGCTCTGAGACTCTTATTCAATTATAAGTAAGTTTAAACTGCTCCACACAATTTAGAAAGCTGTGACTGTGCAGCTGCGGTTACTACCTGTTGAAGAGTGTGATCTGGTGGCAGGGAGACTGAGGTCTCTGAGTGCTGCAAGCTCTCTTCGTGGCCTCGCAAAGACATTTCAGTGGAAGCCTGGAATTGTTAAAGCTACTCTTTTCCCTTTTGCTCTCCCGTTTTTTATTTTCCTGAAGTGAGTTGGACTTGACGAAGTTTGGGAGCAGAGTAATCTGTGTGGAATGAACCGGTACTTGTTCCAAAATGATCTATTAATTTTCTTTTAAAATAACAGAGCTTGAATGGTGCCGAAATTAGAAGAGAAGATACAGGGGATTATGCTTTACGTTCAGTTTCGGTCACTATAATTTAGCTTGAGTTCTAAGTAACCTAGTATGTACATATTTTGATGTAAATGGCATACGCATACGTTTGGTCCTCAGCAAGGTGTTCAGCTGTGGTAACTGAGAAACCAATTCTGCCAGTGAAAAAGAGCCAAAAATCGATGTCCAGATACAGTATTGATGACTGCAGTGACAGAAGTACACTTAAATTACGTCAGGAAATTGCCGCTTTTCCTAATTAGGAAAGAGAATTCTGAAATTGAGAGTAAATTCTTAGTGCTCTTTTGAGCTAAATTACTTGCATAGTGGTGAAAATGCTAGCGGGAGGGAGGCCGTAGCCCAGCAGTGCTTTGTTGAGTGATCCACGTGAGGGCAGTTCTCTCTTCCCTGCGGAGGTGAAACTCCCTTTGTTCCAGTCAGATGTTAGCCTGGGCACACTGTGCCCCGAAGCAGTCTTGCTGCCTGCGTTACCTGTGCTGACGTCTCCACGCATCAAGCACCCTACTGCCTCCTCCATACAGTTATCCAGAGCAGACTGAGAACAGTTGAAAAACAGAGACTTTACTTTGCAAGTTGCAGAATTAAGTAATAGAAATAACTACAGTGATTAGCATCTGTGTCCACTGAATCTCAATTGTTTTTCAGAACTGTAAGTCTGAAGAAGGAGCACATGTCTTTATTCCACACAACTACCCGGTCAGCTGCATGCATTTTTCTCCATTTAATCCTGCTCAGTTGCTGTCTCTAAGCAATGACACTCTGCGGTGTGGTGACGTTACTAGAACTGTCTTTGACGAGGTGAGTGCTGCCTTGGTTGTGCTGCAGACTCCTTGGAAATCTCTTGGTATGCACTGCTGTGAAGTTTTAGTCTTCTTGTACCCAAGTTGTTATTTGTTGGTTGTTTTGTTAACAAGCAAGTGCAAGATTCCATTTCCACAAGGACACATGAAATAACCTTTAATTAACATCATAAAAATACGGAGATGCATCCTACTCAATAAAACACAGTAACAGCTTGGGTACTCCCAATTTCCTTCCTGCAGAGACAGTTGCAATTCTTGAATTTAGTTTCATATCTCTGTACTTAAGCAGTTATGTGCCTCTTTTCAAAAGCATTACCTTTTAATGATGACAAACGAGAGCAATTTAAAGAGCTAAATCTTACAAAAAAAACCTTTCCCAAATAAACATTGTAAGACAACATAAAACATGAGTTGACTTTGCTTTTTTCAGGCTTCAAGTGAGCAAAATGCTGTGACTGTCTCCACGGTGAGCCAGACAGCTTAACTGAGGAGCTTCATGATGCTTGCTTTGTTTGCTTGTTTTTGACAGATACATCTGCATTGATCAGCTCTCCAACATTGGAAAATACAACAAGCTACAACAGTTCAAACCTTTTTTCCACAATCCTTAGAGGCACTGTAATTCTGGTGGGGTTGCAGGCAGGCCAGCTGCTTGGGAAGTATCTCCCATCGGTTGGTTAAGAGGCCAGGAAGGTCCAGGGGGGCTCTATCTTTGAGACAAATGCTTGCAAGAATGTGTCTTTAGAGGTCGGGGGAAGAGAAATGCTGTTCTCCGCCCCGTTTACCTTATGCCAACTTACACAGCCTTGTGATACCTCTAGGAGTATTACTGCCATTGGAAAGAACACAGCTGCTAATGAGGAGAGTCTGCACACCTAGAGAGAGCTGAAGCATGGAAGTTTTCCTGCAGCATTATTATACTTGTGGCTAATTGCTGCTTTGAGAGGAAACTGCCATGGGATAAGATGGCTTGACATCCTGACTCTGATCTCCCAAATTACAGGAAGCCAAATTCACATTTCTGCACCTGGTTAAAGGTTTCTGTAGCATTGGAGAAAGGAACGCAGTCATTAATCCTCACTCAGTATGCACTCGAGGATAACAGACATTTGATTACGGGAACATAGAGGTGTTAGTGTCTTGTAAGAGTTCTAACAGAGAATTCAGAGTATGTTGTTGCCAGTTTGTTTTGGATGGTTAATTATCTATCTCCTCTGTGGAAAGCATACCAGTTTACAGAAAGGTTACCTGCATGGATAGCTAAGGCTGGAGCTATCAAATTAGGTAGTCTGCATTAGTATTTTTAGTATATTGAAAAGGGAAAGCATGAAATCTAGACCCCTAGAGTGTTTTGGGTATTATGAATAACTCTGTGTATTTCATTGAATAGTTTCGGTTACATTTGACCTTTTCTATGCTCAGATATGCAGAAGCGAAGAAAGCTTATCTTCCTTTGACTTTTTGGAAGATAATGCCTCCACCGCAATAGTAGGACACTGGGATGGCGACGTCGCTGTTGTGGACAGACGGACGCCAGGAACATCTTCAGAGCTTTCTGCAGACATTGGCTTCAAAAGAACAAGGACAGTCCATGTTCACCCAGTGAATAAACAGTATTTCATTGCTGCTGGCTCAACGTATGTAGCTCAAAATGAACTGCAGTTATTCTGTGTTTTCAGTGTTCTGTCTGCACTGGTGTCTGAAGTCAGCTATAAATGGCATGTCTGGAGGGCAGGAGCAGCTGTTGATGAGGCAGACAATTTGTCAGCCTCCCTGTATAGTCAAAGCTTTCTTGATCTTTTTAGAAAACAAGTTTTTAGTTTAGATTTAAAATGTGATACACTTTGACTTTCCTTCACCTTTTGGTAATGGGTACAAAATGGTCTTACGAGTCACTATGCTTTTTGACAGATTGCGGTGTGGAGGGATTTTAATGAGCTGCTGGTTTGGGCTGGTTTTGGTGCTCTCAAAATCCTTTGGAGCCACTGGCCGTTTGAGCGAATATGCACTGCTGAAGTAAAGTTCTAAATGCAGCTCACATAAAACCTGTGGTGTCTCTTGAGCATTTCTTGGTAAATGGAGAATAAGAATAATTAACTGTCACCTTGTAAAGTGTTCTGTGTGATATGTGTTGCAGGGATGTTTGTATTTATGATGTTCGATACCTGAAGTCTAATGGGAACAAGCCTGTGAGCTCTCTTAAAGGACACACAAAAAGTGTTGCTTCTGCATATTTCTCACCTGTAACTGGGAACAGAGTAGTGACCGTGTGTGCGGATGATAAGCTGAGGTAAGACGGTGTGGGAAGGAATAATCTTCATGGAAATGTCAACTGGTATTTTTTTTATTATTATTTCCTATCTGCATTACCCATCATTGAGAGTTTTCTGTCTTGTCTTTATTACTTTTTTTAAAGCGATAAAGATTTACTTGCCTTGGCATTTTTAATGTTGCATGATTTTTGTTTGTTTTTTCTTCCAATTCTCATTTTCCTGAAGAATATTAACAGTGAGCAGTAAAATATAAAGGTAGTTAGTCTTTAAAACAAACAAGCAAACAAAAAAAACCCAAACAAAAAACACCAAACCAACCAAATAAAAACCAGCCAAAAACCTGGCTCACGAATACGAATACAAAATGCTTAGAAACTGAATTTATTTTTAGCTTCTGGTACTTAAAAGTAGGATAATATCAGCTCTTTTGTAACCAGTCTACCATTTGATAATTTAAACTGTGGTGAGTTGTATTGTGTTAGAGATCTAGTTTTTCCTTCTACTTTGTAGTTTTGTGACCATAATTTAGGTAATTATTCATGTAAATACCTGACTGCATCTGCATATTTGCCGTGTACATGTTTAAAAGTCCTAAATTGTATCAAAGAATAGCAGGTACAAAATGGGGGGCCCAGTTAAGACCAGGCTGAAAATCAGGCCTCTACTCCACAGAGTCTTGTGTTTTTAAAAGGTGGGGTAATTACATATATTCTGGAAAGACTTTGAGTATGGTGCAGTTGTTACAGCATTATATGTTTTGTCTGGAAATTTGATTTTCTTTCTTTCCCTTCCACATACACAGGAAAGAGTTCTTTTGTGTGAGTTCTGTGTTGCTGTAATGCTCTCTTTCCTGTCATGTGTTTACTAAAGATAATTGAAGATCTGTTCTCTGTAGTAGGCTTGGTTGTGAAAATTGTAAATCCTTGGCACTAACAGGAAGTGTCAGAGTACAAAATGGATATGAGTAAATCAGAGAATTTGTGCTCGACAGAATGGAGACAACAGATACAGGATCATTTATTCCCTGCCTCCTCCAAAGAAAAAAAGAAAGCAGCTTTTAACTCAGCTCGTTGAACTTTTTGCCCTAGGGGTTTGGGATCCTAAAAGCGAAGGAGAGCCCAGAACAAGAGATCTGCCGATGATTTCTCTGTCGGGCGGGCTCACGCCTGCCTGAGGAGGTCCTGGCACTGGAAGCTGTTAGTGGCAGGATTTCACTCTTGGGTGTGTTTTCCCTTCTCTTCGTTCTTCCCTGGGCAGCCTGTTTGCGCAGTAACTGAACGGACCAGGGTACTGGGCTGGAGGAGCCTCTCATTTGTGCTAGCAAGCCGTTCGTGTTCTCTTCCTGTAACAGCTTTCAGAAAGGATGACATTCAATTCTAGCTAAAAGCAAATCCAATTAAAAAAGCAAAATTAATAATTTCAGTAGGAACGTTGGTGCTTACGTTTGAGCTAGATGTCTACGTGCTGTTCGTTACTATATTCCAGACTCTTGTGTGGTCTGGTCTGTGCTGATCTGTGCAAGGTGCTTTATGAGGAAAGGGCTGTGTTTTTCAACATGTGTACATTTTATTAACCTACTATTTTGTGTAACAGGGTCTATGACACCACCTCTTTGTCGTCGACAGCTGCAGTTCTCAGTACCCTCAGGTAAGCTGAACACGCTGGGGCTGAAGACAGCACGCTGTGGCCGTTCCGCTCAAGTGCACTTGTGGCACGAGCCGTGGGTGCGCAGAGGCTAGGCGGCGGTGTGCTTCCCACCAGCCTCGGGCTCTTCGGCAGCCGGGGCGGCGAGAGCAGCCCTAGGACCCTCCTAGCCCGAGAGTTTGCCCTGGTCCTCACGGGTGCCTGCAGTGGCTTTTGTTCATAAAGCACGACTGGGGCATGGCCTGCTTTGAGCCGGTAAAGTCTGCAGGGAAGCTTTCATGTCTTCCTGTGTACCAGGAACAGACCGTTTTGTGACTTTTGAAATGTGTTTTGTTTCAGAATGCTTTTTCTTTGTGCATGTTTTTTAAATATGACAGGTTTCTTAGTGGTAGAGAGCATGTTTTTGGGTAGAGTCTCAAGACTTGTAAAACACCTTTGTGCTCCAGAAGGACGAATCATTGTCAGAGTTGGTTGCTAAGGAGCTGGAACTAGATCGGTGGCTGGCTTGAAAATTCTTAGTTTGCAGTTTATTGAAAGGCTTGATACATTTTTGTCCTATTTTTACTAAAATATGCCACCATGAAGCATAACTGCTTTGACTAATAATCACTTACGTCAAAGTACCCTCTGCTTTATCTTCTTGCCCCATTACATTTCTTTGTCCCTTCCCACCCATCACAGGAGAGTGCGTGGGTCTGAGCAGCACGATCTGTCCAGTGTGGGAAAGTGCTGATGGTTTAGAAGGCGAGGAAGATGGGTTTAGGCAAATATGACATAAATGACGATACTTAAAAATACTGGATTCAATAAGAGGAATTTCTCTCTTTCTTTTTCTCCCTGTTTGTTTGTCTGAAGACATAACAATAACACGGGACGCTGGTTAACTAGGTTCAGAGCAATATGGGACCCTAAACAGGAAGACTGCTTCGTGGTGGGCAGTATGGCACGACCGAGACAAATAGAAGTCTTCCAAGACACTGGAAAATTGTTGCACTCTTTTTATAACCTTGACTGCCTTGGTTCCGTGTGTTCCATTAATGTGGTTCATCCCAGTAAAAACATTTTAGTGGGTGGCAACTCCAGTGGCCGCCTTCATGTGTTCAAAGAATAAAAAAAGTGGCTCAGTTATATTTTTTTTTTCCTTTTTGCATTAAATTTGTTTAATCCGAATTAAGCTGTTCCTAAGCTAACTGTATTTTCTCAGGACAAAAGTGTATTTTAAAAGCTTTAAAATAAATCTTCTAAACTACCTTTGGCATTCTCTTCTTTAATTAAAGAAAAATACTAATCCTGCTCTGACAGTCAGTTTGTACCAAAATAGATATTTTTCCCCAATACTGAAGTAATTTTTCAAAAAAAGAAAAAACATTGGATCAGTAGGATACTTGCTACGTGTATGAGGCACTTCAGAATGATTTTCATTAGAGAATCTGGAGCACTCATTCTCTGCCAGCTGGTGTGGTGCTCCCATAATCTCTTAAGGCTAGTTAAGAGTTCAGTATCCAGGTCTTCGGCAAAATTTGTCCCTTAAGTATGAAGTCTAACGTCTAATTAAATCCTTCCTGGAGGCAGAAGGAAGGTCTCCATGTAGGCTGGTGCCACTGGGCACAGTTTCTAGGGAAGCCCGGTGGTTATGAGTCAAACTTGGAGCTGTCGCGGTGGGCAGAGCAGTCTGCGGGCGCTGGAGCGGCGCGGAGGGACGGTGCTGCAGAGGGGTTGTGGTTGAGGGCTGCTGGCCTCTCGGCTCCCCTTTCTGCACCCGCGAGCCCCTCTGAGGAGGGCTCTTTTGTACCTGACTGGAACAGCTCAGCAGAGCTCGCGTTAAAAATTGTCACTGACACCAAACGCTTTTAAAGGTAAGATACTGGCGAGAGGCTATTGCTTTTATAAGCCTGTGTTTACTGAACTCCCATGCTGACAGGTGGGTCCGGGTTCCTCCTGCCCTAGAGGAGGCATTTGGCTGTAGTAGATCCCAATGCACCTGCATCCTTTCGGCACTGCTGCCTTAGCGCTCCCAGTTGATGCCCCGATGGCAGAACCAGTGTCCCGTTACGATGGGAATCCTCTTATGTCCTGAAGTTGCTCCAGGAGCAAGCTGGGAGTTACTCCCCAGCCTCTGCCACTGCTGGCAGTTTCGGCATGCGCATACCTCACCATTCGCTGCGCTCGGATGGCAACGAAGCCGTATTTTATCAGTGCTGTGCAGGCGCTGGTGAACAGCTCAGCAGAACAGCGAGCAGGAGGAAACGGGCCTCTGTGTGTGTCTCCAATGCGCAAGGTGCGTCGCTGCGTTGGGCCGTGCCTGCTTCCCCCACGGCCTGGCGGAGGCCTGAACCGCCGCAGCGGCGCTCGCTCCTCCCCGCGCTCGTGGCTTCAGGTTTCTGGTAACTTTGGTGCCTGGGCAGCTAAAAGGCCAAATTCCTCATGGGTTTTGAGCTGAGTTTTTACTCAAGTAAAAAAAAAATGGTACCAACACCCTAAATACTGAACAAATCTCATACCAACTCTGGTTTTCATGGTATTTAAATATTTATTTAAATTTAAAAATACTTTTCATGGCACCAATGATTTTATGCTAACTAAGATACTGAATATGTAGAAAAAGGTACATTTTGAAGGAAAAAATGTAACTTACAGTATTTGGCACATGAAAGGTTAATTTCTAGATTTTTTTTTTTTTTTTATGAAAACTAAGAAATTCACATTTTCAGGTATTTTACCGTCTACTGCTTTAAGATGCAGTATGCTATTTATTACGAGATTTTTTTTTTTTTTTTCTCTGATATAAGAATCTATGGAAACAACATTTTAATATAAAGACAGGTAAAACTAACAGGTAGTGAAACACAAGACGTAATATGGAACGTACAGGAAAAACATACAATGAAAAATCACCAGTTCTCATGGTTTTGCAGTAAAATGCTGGGAGAAAACTGCAGAGGTAAACTAGGTCTGGCATTTATCGCTATTCTAGAGTAAGCCAATGTAGAAGGTTTCCAAGGTCAGTACTTAGAGGCTGCACTTTGTCTGGAAGGATGATGTCTCAGGTACAGGGCGGGCGCCTCGCTGGCAGACAGGGCTGTGCTGTTACGACATCACGCGGTACATCAGCAGTGAGGAGAAGGGAACACTGCATCTTTAACCCGGGGTGAAAAACGTCAGGTTCAGGACTATCACGCACTGCATAGAAACACCATTAACCACGGACTGAGGTAGGAACACTACACTAAGAGTTAATTTTGCTATGTTGCATAAAACAGGATATCGTCTGAAAATCGATCCTCCGCTTCCTGGCAGCGCGCGTAAGGGCTCCTGCCTGCTCGAGGGTTAGGGGCTGTACGCGAAGCCCTCCTCGGCCCTTGTGCTTAGGCAGGTGGCCGCAGCTGCGTCCTCCGCAGTGAGACACTACAGCTGAGGTCTTTATTCCACCCCGCCCCGACAGACAGTAGTTAAACGGGACCTCTTTATTGCAGCGACAAACAATCCAAGTCTGGCCGACTTGTCGTGGTGTTGGATCGACCAACGTCATCGTCACGCTCCGCCCGGCGCCGGCTGAGCAGGGCCAGGCAGGAGCCGGCCTCGGCGGGGAGCGGCACTCGTGCACATGTGGTGATGGATGGTGGGATGCTCAGAGACAAGAACACGGAAATCGGGCTGTTTAAAACTGCAGTTATGGCCCCAGCTTACGTAAAATCTCTCCCTGAGATGAAATAAAACTTGCTCACCTGTTTTCACCTTTTTTGTTAAGTACATCCAACTTCTCAACCAAAACTTAGCAGAACTGGCTTTTATTGCTCCCTGTGTAAATAGACTGCTGCTTCCCAGGTCACTGAAGGTCCCGGTGGTTATGTCACAAGTACGATGAGTTGGTTTTACTGATTTTTGCTTAAGAACAGATGGATCTAATGGTTGTCCATTGGCTTGCTCAGTGTCACCTCCACTCCTGTAGTTCTGTCCTTTTTATCTTCAGAAAAGTCACAAAATTATAGCTCCTTTCTCTATTCCAAAACTAGCAACGGGTTAATCTGGTGTCAGGCTTCAGGCTACAAAAGCATTTACTCTTAAACCACTTGCTCAACGTGAACCACTTGGTACAGCGCACCACGGCCACCCAATCCGTAAAGTAAAAAAAGACTTGATTAGACTTGATAACAAAATATCATTTCGTTGTTAAAATAGACCTTGAAATAGTCTTTTTTTTGTTCTTTTTTTTTTTTTGTACAAAACAGGTACAACTTTCGGAGGCTAAAGGTCTTCCTAATAAATCTGACACGGTCACTACGGGCTACGCGCCTAGGCTTGGCCAAGAGTGCCTGGCACGCTCTCGCCTGCCCGTGCTCTCCCGGCCCTCAGGAGCACCGACGCTTCAAGGCTTAGAAAAAGTGACGGAAGGCTGAGTCTGCAGCGCAGGGCGAGGGCTCCTGTTCGCTGGGCGATGCTGTGCCGCGGGGCGCCGGCTCGCGTGCCCGCCTGGGAGCGGGGCGTCCCCAATAGCATCACACTACGCGTGGCCGCGCAGGAGACTCCGGTTAGCAGGGAGGGATGTCTGCAAAGCGGTACTTGGAAGGGGGTGGTGTGC